CGACCTCGGGATACCACCACCGAGGTCGGCCTCGCCACGAGCACATGGGCGACCATCGCAGTTCTCTGCAGAACCCCGTCGCCCGGGTAACTTGGTCGACCTGGAAACCACCAGGTCGGCGTCGACTTCCTTGGGGAAATTCGACCAGAAGTTGTATGTGCTCGTCGACAGCCCAAGTCGACGACCACCTGCCGACTTCACCAAGTCGGCCACTCCTAAGTCCGCGTCACCAAGTCGATGCCTCTGAGGTCGACCTCGTCATGTCGACCACCCAAACTCGGCGCCTTCCAAGTCGGCGCCCCACAGCTCCCCTATCCAAGTCGACATCGGAGCCTCCCAAGGTCGACGTCCACCCTCATCGACCACCAAGACTGTTTGACCGCCGGCCCCCATCGTCGGCGGTGTGGCAGTGGCCTTGAGCAGGTCGACCAGCTCATCGACCTGCGCACCCAAATCGGTGTCGCCCACTGCAGCTGATCGGCTGCTCTTGGCAGTGGCCTTGAGAAGGTCGACCAGCTCGTCGACCTGCGCACCCAAATCGGTGTCACCCACTGCAGCTGATCGGCTGCGCTCCCCGCACACCCGACAACGAAGTCGGCTCCGCCCAAGCGAGGACGGGGCTAACAACAACTCCCGTTGACAAAGTCTGCACCTCCTAAGTCACCACCCCCATGACCAGCACCTTCAGAGCCCGCACCTCTAGCGTCACCACCCCCAATAGCACCACAGTCCACAATGACAGGCTGCAGAGGCGGCGCGGACGTCCGAGGAGGAAAACTAGGAGGAGTCTCCAAGCGCGGAGAACGCCGAGGCTGCAATGTCGTTAGTTGCAGGGTCACCCCCCTCAGCCGGGCCAACGGGGTCTGAGGAGACCTCCAAGGCTCAACCAAGGGGGGTGGTACAACCTGAGAAACACCTGAAAGAGCAGGACAGAAAGGGGGGGGGAGGGGGATTACATGGGAGTAACCTAAAACCAAGAACAAGGGTGGGGGGGGGCTCCAGGGAACTGCGGTGGGGGAACAGACGGTAGTAGCACACCGACTCGTCAAACATGACGTTGCGGGAGGACAGGACGCGACGCGTGGCTGGGTGGTAAAATTGTCAGTCAGGCGCGTTGTCAGGAAAACCAAGGAAGTCGCAGCGAGTGGTGCGAGGAGAGAGCTTGCCCGTAGTAGTATCGCAGACAAGGGCAAGCGAAACCCTGGCCCAAAACGCTGACGCATCACCAACCTCCCCCATCCAATGCAGTGTAGGCGAGGTCTCTGACTCGGAGACACGGGGTCAGCTGTTTAGCTAATGCGCGATGTAGGGGGGACCCGCGGGGGTCCGTCTAGTTCGCGTTTTTGGGGGCCCGCGGGGGCCTTCCTAGGTCGCGGCGTGGGGGACCTGCGGGGGTCCTTCTATTTCGCGACTCGGGGGGGGGGGGGGGGGGGGGGGGGAGGTCTCTTTGCGATTCAACGGGGGAGAGCGGGGCGCTAAGGGGTGACGGGGCATTACGGGTAACGTTGTACTAACGGGCAAGCGCGTGGCGGTAAGCCCATGGGAATCGAACTGCTTTATGCCATATGAGCATGGTAACAGAATGATCAATGACTAGAAATGAAAAGTACAAGCATATATATACCAAACCCTAACCGTGCTAGCATGAACATGTAACACCTACACTAACACATATGAAACTATAGCAATCATAGTTTGACAGGCACCTCAAGAGACCAGAGATAAGGACACACGACTGCATGCGACGTAGATGCTGCAAGGAGGGGTGACCAAGACGGTGGTGCCAGAGGAGAGACGGGTGCGTAAGTAATCGACACGAGCAAGACGCAGCTACCTGACTTGTCGCGACCACCTGTGCAGACTCAGTGTGCAGGGTGTACATGCCAGACCCAGGCCTTCCAGTGAACGTGGCGAGGTGGTCGCCAGTCACTGAGTCCGTACAGATCCCCACAAGCTTGCCTTCAGGAGTGGTGGTGGTGACCATCAGATCCTAAAGGTGAGCGGTACTCACCAAGTTCTTAGCGAACGAGGGGAGGTGGAAATCTGTGAGGGAGCCAGAGGGGGCTGCCGAGCACGGGAGGACAATGGAGCCGCGTGCAATGACTGGGCCAGAGGAGGGGCCGGCCAGGGTGACAGGGACGCGTGCTGTGAGCGGTGTGACTGTGGTGCGGTCGTGGAAGAAGCAGCGAGATGCACATGAATCCAGTGTGAAGGTGTGCAAAGCCTCCGCAGAAACTGCACCTGTGCTAGCAGACTCACAAGCACCTACACTAGCAGCCTCTACACTAACATGTCTAATAACACCATAATAAAAGTCACCCTCAACACTAGCAGCAGCAGCATACATAGCATACATGCCATCAAAGATCTGGTCCCAATTTAGAGCAAGCACATCTATGCCCTTCTTGAGCAATCATAACCATTTAGGAGTCTTGATCTGCTCACCTAACTCCGCTGGAAAGGCGTCGTCGAGGCGGTAGAAGCAGCGGTACTCAGTGTGTCCCGGCTTGCCGCAGACCTCTCCAGGGCGGCTTGTGCGCCGGCGGTACTGGTAGCTGTTGAATGCACGTCAATTTTGAGTGCATGTAATCCTAACGTCCTGCCAAGTGCTCGTGCCATTTTTGCTTGCATAATTTGCATGAGCATATATCATTATGCATAGATGTTGGACTTACCATATCTGTGTTTTTCTCCAAGTTTACATGCTTGATCATGCAGGAGAAATCCAGAGCTTTTCAAAGATACCAAGATCGCCTTATTCGGACCAAGATCGCCCAAGTGAAAAGTTTTCCAAGTTTTGGGAATTATATCTCATTTCGAGATATTTTCTATATTGGGCGATTATTGGCACATGACTTTAGAGGGATCTTTGGCTGGGTGGTTAGGAAAGCAACTTTGACTTTTGGATTGGGGTGCCTAGAAGTTTCTAGCATGGATTGCAAATGTTGCAACACCTAGGCAAAATCCAACTAGATTGGATTTTGCATGTGACACCTCAAGGACCTCATGATGAGGGTTGCATCCCTGCTGCTAGGAAGGTTCCTACCATCCTTCCTAGCTCTTGGAGAACCCCTTCTCTCTCATGGTTCTCTTGGAGTCCCGAACTCCAACTTTCCATGCCTTAATGTTTGTACTTCCTCCACCATTCTAGTCATGCAGCTGCTGGACTTTTTCAAGTCGTTCTCACTCTATATACCATCTTAATGACTTATTCAAATTGCATATAGTAGCTAAGGCTATGGCACAGAATCCTACCGAGCGGATTTGCGTTTAGTTGAGAAATGAGTTCGTGGTATGTTCTCAAAGTGACGGATCCTGAACAACAGTAGCGACCTCCACCGCCGGGGCCGCTGCACTGGACAGCCCACTTACGAAGCTCTTGCGGCCAGAGAGTCTACTGCTGACGATGCTGCTGCTGCTGCTGCCCACCCCCAGAACCTCCGCCTCCACCAGCTGCACCAGCTCCTTGGGTAGCCGTACCCGAGCCTCCACCCCCGCCAACTCCACCCCAACTACCACCGGTGCCCCCTCCGCCACCTTCACCACCCCCATTGCCTCCACCACCCCCGTCGTCTCCACCAACCCCGCCACCTCCACCGCCACCGCTCCCTCCACCACCTCCACTACCACCACCGCCACCACCCCCGCCACTGCCACCGCTAGCACCACCTCCACCACCCCCAACCCCCCGCCATCCCTCCTACGCCCACCGATGTCGCGGTGCCTCCCACCAGGGGCAGACACATCACCGACCTCCTCAGCTCCAAGGAAGTCAGCCGATGTGGCTGTAGCGGCGGCTGCAGTGGCGGCAGCAGCAGGGGCAACGGCTATAGTGGTGGCTGCAGCGGCGGTGGCGACTGTGGCAGTAGTGGTGGCAGCCGCAGCTGTAGTGGCAGCAGCGGAGGCGGCTGCAGCAGAGGCGGCGGCTGCAGCTACAGCAGCAGTAGGTGCGGCAGTAGCAGAGGCAGCAGCGGCGGCTGTGGCAGAGGTGGCGGCTGTAGCGGCGGCTGCAGCGGCGGCTGCCGTGGCAGATGTAGCTGTGGCTGCAAAGGCAGTAGCGCAAAGGGGCATTGCGGCTGCAGCGGCGGCGGTAGCGGTGGATGCAGCGGCGATAGCGGAGGCTGCACCGGCGGTAGCGGCAGCTGTAGTGGCGGCTGCAGCTGCTGCTGTAGCTGTGGCTGCAGCAGTGGTAGTGCGAAGGGGCAGGGCGGGTGCAGCGGCTGTAGCTGTGGCTGCAGCGGCGGTAGCGCGAAGGGGCAGGGCGGCTGCAGCGGGGTAGCGGTGGCTGCAGTGGCGGCTGCAGCAGTGGCTGCAGTGGCGGCTGTAGCGGCGGCTGCAGCGGCAGCTGTAGTTGTGATTGTAGTGGTGGCTGTAGCTATGGCTGCAGCGGCATTAGAGGCGGCTGCAGCGGCTGCTGCAGCGGTGGCTGCAGCGGTGGCTGCAGCGGCGGTAGCGCGAAGGGGCAGGGCGGCGCTAATGCGCGTGGCAGGGCAGACACACAGAGCGGGGCGGAAGCGCCGGGCAGGGCAGCGCGAGGCAGCAGGAAGGGCGCGCGCGAAGGGCAGCACGGGGAACGCGTGCGGGGTGCGCGAAGGGCAGCGCATGGGGCAGCGCAAGGGCGCACGCGGGGCAGCGCTAACGAGGGGCAACGTGTCGAGTAGGAACGGGTAACATGCACTAGGAGCGATCCTAACCTAGCGAGTGAAACAGGAATGGCTTTGACTAAGGAACGGGGGTACAAGTATGAAACCTTAGAAATTCTGTACCCCCTAAGACTAGCCCCACTATATCCTAACAAATTATAAACATATAATCTCAACAATAGGGTGCCTTCACCACTGCACCCGCCTTCAACCCGATGCTCATCCATCCACCCATCAGTCCACCTCATAGCTCTCTGTCATGAACTCAGACCATCTGTACGACCCCAGGGATACTGTATGGGGAACTAAGGTACTCCATCGGACAAAGAACGACGAGGGAGCTGCACTGCGACATGGTCAATCCTCAAAGCTCCCATCACAGGGCGAATGCTCATACCATTCCCTGCCTTCAAGAAACTCGTTCAGGCATGGGGGCACGTGGGGCATGAGGCCATCGGCAGTGAGTCTGAAATGGCGGAGCGACGTGAAGGCGGAGAGGAAAGGCGGGAGAGAGTGCAAGCGGCGCCAGTGGAGGAGGTCGAGACGAGTGAGGCGGGAGAATTTCACCAGTGAGGATGGGAGGTGCGGTAGGTCGCAGCAGCAGATTTGAAGCGTGGCGAGGCGAGGCGGGCACGTGAGATAGGGCTGGGAGCAGCCTCTGGTGATGTTGGATAGGCGGAGGGTGTGCAGGGAGGAGAAGCAGGAGAGGCATGCAAGGAAGTCCCGGCAGTCAGCGTTGTCCACCACCAGAGTGGTGAGCGCCGTCAGCTGCGTCAGCTGAGGTTCACTTTCATACCCCGACAGCTTTGCACGGTCCAAGTGCAGGAAGCGCAGGTTGGCAGAGAAGCCACTCTCCACCTTCCAGGCCACGTCGCGATTGCCAGCTAGTGCCATGTGTTCGAGGGCAGGGAAGAGGGGCCTGAGTTGGCCAGCAGCTGAAGCACCTTGAGCTTGTGAAACACAGGCGCCCACCATTCACCACTGTCTGTGCGCCACGCGCAAAGATTTCCCTCGGAGTAACGGAAGCGGTCGGCCCGAACGTCAAGCTGCTCCAGGGATGGTGCCACGCGGGCAATGAATCGAGCGACGTGCACGGAAAAATCAGGGCATTGCACGCGCAGGCGACGCAGACGGGGAAGGTGGGGCAGGCAGGCAGAGTCGGAGCAGCAGAGGAAGAGGTCGTGTAGGCGAGTGAGGCGAGAGAGATCGTTAGCGCAGCTGAGGGATGGGAGGGCGAGGGAGGTGAGGCGGGTGAGATGGGGAATGAGAGATTTTAAGTATCCGAAGCGGGAGAGAGAGAGGGAGGTGAGGTTGCAGAGAGGCAGCAGTCTCTCATCAGTAACTCTTGAGGCAACACCTGCATAGGGAAGCCCATTGATAACCTCCTCTTCCTCCTCATTGCTTTCTTCCTCTGCTGCCACCTCCCCTACCTCCTCATCCGCTTCCTCCTCCACTACCACCCCTTCGTCCGCATCATCCAGTCCCGGAATCCAGAGGTTGGTGTCGAGGCGAGTGAGGGAAGTGAGGCAGGAGAAGGAAGAGGGCATGGTGGAGATGGGGAGGTGCAGGGAGAGGGCGGAGAGGCACGAGGGCAGCCCCAGCAGCAGGTCGCCAGAGACGCTGCTCCAGCTGCTACCGTCCTCAGGGTGGTAGTAGCGCTTGAAGGTGCTTGGCACGTGCAGGGCGAGCGAGCGGAGGGAGCGGAGGGGGGCGAAGGGGGAGGGGAGGGAGAGGCGGGGCGGCATGGGGTCTGCTGGGAGGGCGAGGGCGAGGGAGGTGAGGCGCGAGAGGAGGAGGAGGGAGGAGGGGAGGCGGGAGAGAGGGAGGGAGAGAGCGGTGAGTTGGGGGCAGCGAAGGAAGAGAGAGTCGGGGAGTTTGAGGCGGTCTGTGAGGGTCTCCCCTTGAAGGTGCAGCTGCTTGAGTCCCCGGCATCTCTTCAGCACGGCAAACAGCCCCCTCTCCATCTCCTGGTTCGCCTCCCCCCACCATCGCCGCACCCTCCTCTCCATCCCAGCAGCCTCGAACCAGCCCTCCCGCCCATAGCCCCACTCGCAGTTGGCTGAGAAGCCGGGCTCCAGGAGCAAGGAGAGGGAGGTGGGAGCAGGGAGAGCGGCAGCAGCGGCGAGCAGCGAGCGCAGATGGGAGGGGCGGAGGGGGCAGGCCGTGGTGGAGACGAGGGGAAGGGCGAGCGTAGAGAGGTTGGGGTAGTGGGCGAGGGTGTGCGCGAGGGAGGAGGGGGAGGGGAGCGAGGCGAACCAGATGGGGGAGAGGTGTTTCTCTGCGCTTAGATAGTGGGTGAAGCAGGTGGAGAGGGAGGAGGGGGTGATGGGAGGGGGGAGGGTGAAGGGAGGTTGGGAGGAGGGGAGCAGGGAGAATGGGGAGGTGGGGGAGGAGTGGATGAGCCAGAAGGGAGAGTCGGAGGGGAGCCACACGGAGGAGAAGAGAGGGGAGCCGTTGAGACCTGCTGCTGCTCTCGTCTCGTGGTGGCTTGTTCTGCAGTCTGGTTTGGCAGAAGAAGAGGAGGAGGAGGAGAAAGGAAGGTGGAGCAGGGGGACGGGCAGCCAGGAGAGTGAGAGGGGGTGGAGGGCGAGGGCGAAGCAGGAGGTGTGGAGGCGGCACCAGTGGTGCCACTCGCGGCACACCAGTCTCACTCTCGCCTGCTCCACAGGACTCTGTACCCGCTGCAACACGCCTTGTAGCACCTCCCATGGTAACTTCACCAGCTGCGTGCTGCTGGCACTGCTGTTGTGGACACTGCTGCTGTCGGCACTGCTGCTTCTGATGTTCTTCGGATGTTGTAACCCCTCTGCTGCTAGCACCCCTGCTGCTACCTCCTCCGGCCGCGAATCATGATTGCTGGCACTCGCGTCCTTGCATGAGCCTCTCACCTCCCTCACCTGTTCCCCTTGCACCAACTCACCTCCCTGCTCCACCTGAGGCTGCTGCTGCTGCTGTTGCTTGTTCCCCTCCTCTCCTATTACACCCTGACAAATTGACTGCCCCTCCCCTTCATCTTCCCTCCCCACCTGCCTCAACCCCTTCAGCTCCCTTTGCACCACAACAGGGTCGTAGCCATGACCGAAGTTGAAGTGGGTGAGGGAGGAGAAGGAGGAGAGGAAGGAGGGGAGGGCGCGGAGCGGGGTACACTGGAAGAGGTGGAGGCGAGTGAGGGAGGAGAAGAGGCGAAGGCAGTCAGGGAGGAGGGGAGTGTGGGAGTGGCAGATTTGGAGCGATGTGAGTTGGGGAGGGCAGGAGAGGGCGGAGTGGTAGTTGTGCATGGAGAGGTTGAAGATGCGGAGGGCAGTGAGGGCGGGGAAGAGGGCGAGCGACGCGAGGAAGCGCGAGGAGTGCGGGTAGGACCCCACTATGAGCGTGCGCAGGTGGGGCAGCACGGGCAGGGGGGCACGTGGGGGGGAGTGGATCCGCAGGAAGGTGAGGTTGGGGAGGAGGTGCGACAGGATGGTGGGTGCGTGCATGGGCGGGTGAGAAGGCGATGGGATGCTGTGGATGGCCAAGTGGGTTAGGCGCGGCAGCACGCCCATGAATGCGAGCGTCTGCTGCTGCTGGGGCGGCGGGTCTGCATATGCTGGTTCTACGTGCCCTTGCCCTGTGTGAGAGCCCGCATGGCTGCTCACATTGCACAGCACAAGCTCTTCAAGGAAAGGGAAGAAGCACGCAGCTGCTGCACCACATGCGCCCTTCCCTACATCCCCCTCCACCCTCGCCTCCCCAGATGCCCCCCCCCCATCCTTGCACGGCCACGAAAGGAGAGCCTTGGATCTTGAGCGACTGCAGCTGAGGGCACAGCCGCCCCCACACCGCCAATGGGATGACGCCAGCTGTCCCCGTGAGAGTGACGTGGTGGAGGGAGGCTGACGAAGGGGTTGGTTCCGGCCACAACAGAGGTTCGGCGGGACCCTCACCATTGACGTGCAGATGAGACAAACGGGGCCAGTGGGCGAAGAGGGCGAGAGCAGCGGGGGAGTGGAGAGGGGAGGCGAGGGGGATGGAGAGGAGAGTGAGGGAGGAGAGGGAGGAGAGGCAGGGAGGGAAGGTGCGGTGAGCGAGGAGGGAGAGAGAGGTTAGGTTGGGGAGGGAGGCTAGGCACTGACGGTGGCACTGGTGGGGGTGTGTAGAATTGTCACTGATGGAGGAACAGCAGCAGGAAGGGGAGATAGAATCGTGGGGGGGGAAGAGGGCGTTGAGGCCCGTGCAGTGCCACTCGCCTCCCACGTTGGTGGTGAGCTGCTGCAGGCGCGTGAGCGACCACAGCGAGGCAGGCAGCCACCCCACCACCGAGTCCTCCCCTCCCCACCCATCGCCCACCCATCCGCCTCCCTCCTCCTCCCCTCTTCTGCCTCCTTTCCACTCGCCGTTGCCTTTCCTTCCCCCATCCCCCCACCCCCGACCCCTCCCCCCTGCGGCCTCCCACCACGCCTTTTCCTCCTCTTCTTCTCCGCCCCTGTCTGCGTTGCACACAGTAGGAACGTCAAGGACGACAGGCTCGGTCCGAGCCCAGCAAATAGGTCCGGCGAGAGAGGCTCGGAAAGGCCGGTGGTGGGGGTTCCAAGGGAGAGGTGGAGGAGGGAGAGGCGGGAGAGAGAGTGGAAGGGGCGAGCGGAGAGGAGGAGGGGATGGTGGGGAGCAGAGAGGGAGAGGCGGAGGGAGCGGAGGGAGGAGAGGTGGGGAAGGAGGTAAGGCGGGAGGTCGGAGAGAGGCAGGGAGAGGTGGGCGAGACGGGAGAGCAAGGCAGCTACTTCTTCACTCATTGTGAGGTAGTTGTTGCCACAGAGGCTCAAGTGCAGTGAGCGCAGATGCGGACAACTCGTTATAAGCTGCGTCATCTGCTCCGCCTGAGTGTGCTTCTTCCATCCCCAATCCCCGGGCTTCGCAACATCCTCGTGGATCGGGCACGAGGCATCTGTCGGTGGCTCAGAGACAAGGTGCAGCGACCGCAGGTTCACGCATGAGCGCGCCAAGCCCATCATTTCTGAGAGTGGCCACGCCTGGTGTGAGGAGCGGTGGACAGTCACGGGCATGTGCAGCGCGCTGACGTGCTGCTGGTGTCGCGACAGCAGCTGCTGGAGACGCGTGCGCAAGCCATCGGGGAGCAGAAGGGACTGGATCTCGAGGCGCTGGTCCGTGGAGAGCGACGACACGGGGTCGGCGCATTCAAAGCTGCAGCTGTAGTAGCCGCCCCGCATCACGCGCCTCAGCTGCTCCATCCCCATCAGCTCGTCGACTAGGAACGGCGCTGCATGCCGCCCCTCTGCCGCTGCGGCTGCCGCTGCTGATGCCACCTTTGCCTCGGCTGCGCCTGCAAGTGCAGGCGGTGGTGGGGAGGGAGAAGGTGGCAAGTCGGATGGAGAGTGAAAGTCAGGACCTCTCACCCAGATCTCTACGCGCGGCGCTTCGGCCGTGCGCGACGATTCGTCCGTGTCAAGTAGCGGTGGGTCGTCCGTGGTCCACAGTCTCGGCCGCGACGGGCACCACGGCTCTTCCAAGCGGTGGCACGTGCTGCGTGGGGTGCTGCATGGCTGGCTGTCAGCTCTGCTGTCTGAATCTCCTTGTCCGAGTTTCACAAGCCGCCATCGAAGCGAGTGCGCGTCGAACAAGCACGCGAGCCCCGCGGCATTGCTTCTAATTGATTCGGTGCTGCCCATCATTGCACGGAGCGCGCTCGCGAGGAGCCGCTTGAGAAATGCGACAGTCGCACGCTTCTTGGCACCCTCAAGGGACGGCGGGAAACGCTGATGGACGGAGTCGACGGCGAGCTTAGGGACCGACGACAGAGGGGGAGGTCCGTACTTTCTAAATCTTAATTCAGGACCCTGGTTGCTTTGGCTGTGTCATGCGCCTCAGTTGCTTTGGTTTCGCTGTGTAAGGGCAGAGTGATACGCGAAATTATCGAACCAAGGAGTTCTCGCTTACTGCTTTCCCACCAACCTAGTTTAGGCGCTAGACGCGTAACAGGGTACCAGAAATGTGCTGGTGGAGACAATGACACGGCCTGGGAGTTTCCGTGGCGACTGAAACTGAAAAACACGCTGGTTGGCTGGCTTGTGCTGATGGGTTGACGTTCGTGATCAGATACAAGGATGAACTAAACAAATTGAACATGGCAAACAAGCCAACCTGTGCGAAGACACGCTATTCAACTGTCCCGTAGGACAGCCTCTGGGAGAGAGGTTTGCTCTGTGCATATGGCGAGAAGACAAGCTTGTGCTGATGGCGTGACTGTGTCAACCAACTCCAGAATTCGTGCGACCATAGCGAAATTGGACACGCTGGCAGCGTTGGGTTTGACCTGAGCGAAATGCCTGTACACCACCCGCCTAGCTTGGCGTGTGTGAGGGCTGGTTGAGATTCAGGGGTTTTGCGGAAAACTCTTCACCTGGTTTGGCTGCCCCATGCCACCATACTAAGTGAACATATGAGGGATTTCGTTGAATGTCGACCCTCGGATCAATGGTTCCAACCGTCAGGATTCACCGGAATCCGTCGACGACGAGTTTTTGCAGTACTTTATACACGCCATTACAGGAAATGTCCTTGGTCCTTACTTCACCCCCGTGCTTACCGCATACACTAAAAACGTTACCACTCGCGACACTCGCCTTGACCAGTGTTGCCGCCACTGTTCACATCGCGACCCAACCTCACGGGTTGGTTGGTAACCCGCGCTCCGGCCCTCCGTCTCGACGTTTCCCAACCTCGGCACGAGGCCTGTCGCGCACCCCACATTCTCGCGCGATACCGTTACCACGCTAGTTCGATATACAATGTTCGCTCATTGCTTCGCTCGATATACTTCTACTTCAATAGTGCAATCTTCGTTCGTTCACTCAAGGTGTACTCGTAACACTTAGTATTCAGAGCCACGACCCTTTTCGGAACGCGCCCACACCTTCGCTTCCCACATTATCTCAAATTATGGGCGGGGTAGACGTCCCTCAGCAACCAAGCATCATAGCTCGTATGCTCTTTCGTAAGCACACACAGCCACGACTGAGGATATCGCTGAGCTAGCCCGACACCTCCGTCATGGACGAACACGCCCGCAGCCCGCTCGAAGGTCTGATGCAGGAGCGCCTCGACGAAATCATGATCCAGCTGCAAGAGTCAGCGCTTGAAATCGCGACTTCGATGGCGGAATGCGACTCCGCGCTTCAGCAATCATCGGCGAATGCACCAGCACCAGCAAGTGCACCTGCATAAACTGTTTTTTTTTTTTTGCCATCCCGTCCGGGACACCATTGCAACACAACAACGTGGCACAGCGATCTGGCGCAATCAGTGATGGTGTCTGGGACACAATCGGCAAACACACCAGTGACTCGCGCTGTGCGAGCAAGCCGGCTACATGAACGAAGCGGAGCAAGTGGATCGCTACGCCGGCTACTTGAAGCTGGAAATTTTGCAAGAAATTATACTCCGCGGGATTTCTCATTTCGGCAAAATCCTGGCACTCGCCAAGAAGATCAATATTTTACGCTGTCCGAGGCCGAGTTCCTACCACTACGGATATCGTACTCAGGGAACAACCGAGCACGCCACTGTACACGCTGCCGCAACAAACGCAGCTGCCGCGCCATTTAAAGGGCGCTGCTTCGCGTGCAACAGGCAGGGCCACTGTAAGAGTAAATGCTCAGGGGAGCGAAGGCGTAGTGGAGCAGAGCAGGGGAGGGAGTCTGGAAGGCAGGGAAATGCCAGAAGTCAGTAGAGTACGAGCCCACTACTGACGAGACTCACTGCTCGCCCGACCCCACTGACCCTCACCGAGTGACGGTACCGATTCACGCAATCGATCGGGCTCGGCTGAATAAGGAGGGTAGAGCGCCAATATTTCCTTGGTAAACGTGAAATCACCCCTGCAACGAATCTGGACCCGGTCCACGCGTTCCCGTATCGCTAGTGGTGTGCCGTTGACCAGTGTTGCGTCTATCTTAGGTGAACATCGGTTCATTGGCAATTGTAGTTTTCCAACAACGGCGGTATTGATCAGGTGGGATTAGCTCATCTTCGACAAATGCTTTAACCTTAGTCGGTGTGGATTTCCCCTCTGAGAGGTATGAGATTATCTTCCAACGTGCCCTCCTTATTCAACCGAGTGTGGTCGGCCGCGTAACTCGGTAGTATCACTCGGTGAGGGTCAATTAGGTCAGACGAGCGAGGAATCTTGTCCACAGAGGGCCCGTCCGCTACTGACTCCCAACGTTTCCCTGCTGCGTAGACTCGGCTCCCTTTGTTGAAAGAATGAGCAGAAAGTTTAGAAGCAGAAAGAGGGATTGCACTAGCAAGCAGTTGAGTACATATAGGAAACCCTTGATTGGGCTGTACTCGCTATAGAGTACCCCACTGCAGGCTAGACAAATACAACATTCTGACACACCCCCATAGCCAAAGTGGGGTGTAATCAGCAAAGCACGCAGTCATAGAGCAGGTTCACAATTGCAAGCAAAGCTAGAGGCTATCACAGAGGGCAAGTGAGGAGGAGGAGAGACTGTTGGGGCGAGAAGATGGAAGGCGACTTCTGAAGCTGCAGTCACACAGGAGCTGCTGGCTCAGTGGCTACCGAAGCAAAGGCCTGGACTACAGGAGCAACTGGCTCCGCGGAGATTGTAGCCTCCTGACTGGAGCAACTGACCCACAGGCGACTGGCGACTACTGGAGATTGTAGCCTCCGGACTACTGGCGCTGCTGACGACACGACGGCTGCCTCCACTCAACCCCCCCCAGCTGCCCCACGCCCCTATCACACACCCCCTGCTGCACCCCTAGTTCCACTCCCACGACACCCCCCTAGCACCACTCCTTCGGCTCCCACACACCCACCCCCCTGAGCGGCAGCTGCAGCAGCGGGAGACGGAGGAGGAGGAGGAGTAGGGGACGGCGCACACAACCGGCACCCCCACAACCGCCACCCCCACACTCCCCACCCCCAAACCCTAAAACGGGTGGCAGGGGGTAGGAGCGCGGGGGACGGCGAGGGGGACGGCGCGCGGCCCCCAGGGCGCCACCACGGGGCAGCGAGGGGCCGCGCGCGGCTCCCCAGGGCGCCGCGACGAGGTAGCGGGGGGTCGCGCGCGGCTCCCAGGGCTCCGCGACAGGACGGCAGGGGCCGCGCGCGACACCAGAGCGCCGCGACGCGACGGCAGGGGCCGCGCGCGCCTTGCCCGGGCGCCGCGACAGGACGGCAGGGGCCGCGCGTGACACCCCAAGGCGTCGCAACGGACGGGCGGGGGGGCGCGCGCGACTCCCTAGGGCGCCGCGACGAAACAGCGGGGGCGGCGCGCCAGGAAGGAAAGGGGCCGCGCGCCCCGGGGCGCGCGCCAGAGAGGCACGCGGCGGGATGAAAAATAGGTCGCACGCCACGGGGCGTGCGACAGATCAAGTAGCAGCGGAAGCAGGTTGGTGGGCCCACAGGCCAAGGAAGGAGACGCGCTGATACCATGTTGAAAGAATGAGCAGAAAATTTAGAAGCAGAAAGAGGGATTGCACTAGCAAGCAGTTGAGTACATATAGGAAACCCTTGATTGGGCTGTACTCGCTATAGAGTACCCCACTGCAGGCTAGACAAATACAACATTCTGACACCCTTTCTCCAGTTTTCTTCGAGCATTTGGCCTTGCGGTGCTCAAGCCGATTGTACGCGAAGCGTCGGCCTTTAATGGGTGCGGTAACGTCATTCGCGACGATAGGCGTACCGTGGTATACTAGAATGTCCACAAGTCTGATGTCCCCAATTGTCGGTCGGTGTATAAAGTCAAACTTATTTGCCATAGCGATAATTTCGTTAAAATTGGCGATTTTGCGAAGCAATTTCTATTGTGAAAAATCTGGGCTTTAATACGTCGACATAATGATGATGCGTTGCGCCTCGTGCATATAGCCCATCTGCTCGCATGGCGCAAAAAATCCGCTAGTCAATTCCTAGACGGATCCTGGTTAACGCCAAGTGCGCAGCTTCTCAAGCGCCGAAATTGAGTCATGATCGGCTCAAATATCCGGCGTAGACCTGCACACACGCATCCCACTTGCGGTATTGGGTGACTTTGCTGTACGATGGTGCTTAGAAAATTGTGGGCCCGGAAGGTCCCTCCTTTTGCGGTAGCAGCGGATAGTCGCTCGGCACAATGATGATGATACGCCACGAGTCTGTGGCGAGTCTTCGCGGTAACGCCAAGATGTATCAAATTTCGCCGTGTATGAAGAAACGTAGTTGGCTTTGAAAAACACGTTGCATCATGAAGATCCACGATTGAATCGTCAAGCCACCCCGTTGACTCTGGTCAAAGCATGAGGCAATATTGGGTCTAAAACGGCATGTGCGACGCAATCGCCACATCATCATTCTCGACTTTGATGTTTGTGCGATATGTTCCATATGCGGTTGTCACGATCCCAGCCACTAACCAATGAGATAAAAGGGCTTGTTAATTAGCGGATGAGGCTACCACCAAATCCGAGTCAATCAAACAGATTGCGCCAATACAGCTTCTAGAACCACATTACAGGGGTTTTGAGTACACGGTGATGCTGTTCGGGCTAACCAATGCGCCCGCGACATTTCGGATGACGATAAATGAGGCATTTAGGCCGCTTCTAGATAAAAGCGTCATCGTTTACCTCGACAACATCTTAGTTCACGGCCGTGATAAGCAAC